GGCCCATCTCAGGCGAGCTCTTGGAGTTCACCTTGCTGCCTCCGGTAGACCCGCCAGAAACTCCCGTTGTTCGTGGAGCCAGCCAGGGAGCGTGCAAAGCGCAGGCCTCTGCCGTGAGCACGAGCCAGCAAGGCACGCGTGGGTGGAGAGGTTTCTCTGCCTGTTGTTTGCTGAAGGACGGTTCGTTCGCAGCAGAATGCACCGGAGGAGGGGGAGCTGAAGAGCCCAAGGACGCACACAGCGCGGGCGCTGGGACCTTGGCCCTGACGCAGTGGAGAGCACTCGGGGCCACGTGCTGGCTGGAAAAGGGCCTTGGAGCACAGGTGCCCGATTCCTGCCACGCTCAAGAGAGCAGGAAGTCGAGTGCTCTCCGTAGGGTAACTAGGATGGCCTTGCAAACACCCCCGCACACTCCAGCTCCTTCCTGCAGCCCCCTGCCAGGCCCGGACGTTCGGCCAGCCTCTCTGGTGAAGACAGGAGCTCCATTACCGCAGGACAGAAAAGGGCCAAGCCAGCGCAGACCCCCCCTGCCTCTGTACGGGACCGGGCACAGCAAGATGCCTCTGCCCCGTGGAGCTCACAAGCTGAACAGGCGCCAGCGGGGAGGGGAAGAGAGGAGACTTCCCGCTGTCCTCACTCTTCAGCTGGAGACAGCGAGGCACAGGGCTTAGGGTATGTGCCCAGCTCACACGGGAAGCCTGTGCACCGGGACCGGCCACGGGCCGACGGGCTGGGCAGCAGCTCTGCAAAAAAGGACCTGGGGCTTGCAGGGCACAATAAGCTGAATATGAGCCAGCAGCGTGCCCTGGTTGCCAAGATGGCTAATGGCATCCTGGGCTGCGTGGGTAGGAGTGGTGCCAGTAGGTCCAGGGAAGTGAGTCTTCCCCTCTAATTGGCACTGGTGAGGCCTGTGTCCAGTTTTGGGCCCCCCACTATAGAAAGTATGTGGACAATTTGGAAAGGGTCCGGCAGAGGACAGCAAGACTGGTTCGGGGGCTGGGGCATGTGACTGGTGAGGAGGGGCTGAGGGAAACGGGCTTATTTAGGCTGCAGAAGAGAAGACCGAGGGGGACTGAGTAGCAGCCTTCACCTCCCTGCAGGGCAGCTGCGAAGAGGATGGGGCTGGACTGTCCTCGGTGGGGGCAGATGACAGGACAAGGAGCAATGGGCTCAAGTTGCAGCGAGGGACGTTCAGGGTAGATATTAGGAAAAACTTTCTCACTAGGAGAAAGCACTGAAACTGGCTCCCCAGAGAGGTTGCGAAATCTCCATCCTTGGAGGTGTTTAAGACCCAGGTAGACGAAGCCTTGGCTGGGATGATGGAGTTGGGGCTGGTCCTGCTTGGAGCAGGGGGTTGCACTAGATGTGACCTCCTGCGGTCCCTCCCAGCCCGCATTTTCTGTGTTTCTATGAAAACTCAAATGGGGTCTCTGGAATCCCACCCCAGGGCTGCCCCTCTGAGGCCACCTTCCTTCCCTTCACGAACACGCCCATCCCGGACACATCTTGGAGCCGAGTGCCGCAGACGCCTACCCTGAAGATGACCATTTAAGCCCGTCCAGCTTGCCCAGCTCCGTGCCCAGAGCAATGCTCCCACCAGCACAGCAGAGCTCAGGTCAAAGGAGGCCAGTTGGAGAAGAGAAACCCCCCCGTGCCAGCAGCAGCTGCCCACTAAGGCATGGTTACTTGAGACCCCGAGCCTGTGAAGGGCTCAGCTGGTGCCCGCCAGGCTCCACAGGACAGCGTGGGACTGCAGCAAAGCAAACCAAGGCAGGCGTGGGCAGAGCCTCTTCCACGCAGCCAGGCTTGCAAAGTCTGGGCAGCCTGAAGGACCGCGCTGCTCGAGCTCCCTTACTGAATCCATTTCCGTCATGCCAGTGTATCCCCACGGGACCCCTCTGACAAGACAGCGCTTGCCCTCACCCCTCCGTACCAAGTTCAAGCAGTGGCCAAGGCCATGGGCAAGCCTTGGCAGAGGGGCCTTGCTGCCCCAGGGACACAGCGCTGGGCTCCTCTTGCCCTCGAGAGCCTGGCCCCGGCTGCAGCCGGCGGAGCTGGGACTGGCTTTGTGCCCATGACACGTGGAAGGTGTGAACAGTGCCAGGCTGAGAGGGTGCTGAAATGGGGGAAGATAAATATTTCAGGCCTGGCTTAAAAGGGAAGGGAAGGGGAGCAGAAATCCTCTTTGCTTAAGAGGGGAAGATTCATATTTTATGAGGACGAGAAGCGCTGTGATGGAGCTGCTGAGATGATGGCAAAACCATGTCCCTGCCACCCCCTACTGCGCTCCCTGGCCCCGTAGGTAGATTTGCTCCCTGTCTAGGCAGCGGCCTCCCCACCCCTGCCGTCTTTCTCGCCCAGGCCGTCAGACTGAGCTCTCCTCCTGCCCCATCTTTCTGTCTGCACCAGGCCTCCTGCCCACTTCTCTTCCCCACTTCAGGCAGCTCTCTCTGTCCATGCCCCAGCCCCACATTGCACATGCGTGTGACACCTGCCATCACCTCAGAGCACTTCACAAACATTTTGCAAATGAAGCTTTGCACCCACAAGTGCCTGGAAGGCAGCAGGTAGAGACGTAGCACCTCGTTGCAGCTCCGGCGCCGGTCAGGACGAGATCCCAAGCGTCCCAAGGCCCAGCATCAACTCCTCTGAGCATGCGGGAAGTGACTGCGATGCAATCTCCACCCTGTGCAGGGTCCAGCCTGCAAGCTGCGCACTGATGGGAACATGCTCCAGTGTCTGCCCCAGGGATGTGATGCCCTGCCCTGTAGCACACAGAGGGGCACAGAGGCCACGCAACTCAGGACAGAGCCAGGAGAATCCAGGAGCCCCGAGTCCCTGGTGCCAAGGGACGCCCCTGCTCCAGCCTGAACAGGGAAGGTTTCTCACTTGCCCCAGCCGTGTCTGCCGAGGGAGCCCCGCACATGGCTAAGCCGCCGGGCTTCTCTCTCATCAGCAAGCCTTCCTCAGGCCCTGGGCTAACGAAGACAGGCCCTGCACGCCTCTATGAGCAGTGCGCCGGCAGGCAGCCTGTTTACCACGTCCGGGCAAAGCCGATTAAGAGGGAGCTCCTTCGCCATCCCTCCCTCCCCCTGCACACTGCCCGTGGGAGCTGGCATCCAGGAAAATCAGCTTCAGCCCCTTCCAGCCAAGTCCGAAGAAAGCCCCTTGCAAAGGGCTTAGCCGCAGCTCAGCGCTGGGATAGATATTAAGGCTCTAATTCTAGGAGGTAACATGCCACGGATCAGAGGGGCACCAGCCATGGGTCATGCCCAGCCTCTCCCCCTGCCCTGGCATGAGCCAGGTGGTGCCCTGCTGCTGATCCCAGCTGGACGCTGGCTATATCCAGGGCGCCGCTGGAGGTGCCCAGGGGATGGGGCTGTGCTGGGGACTGGCAGGGGTGGCACGAAGGTAGCAGCTGCGCAGGAGCTGGGAGTTCCCAGGGTCAGCAAACCCTCATGCAGTTGACAGCAAATACAGCACCGGCCACGGCCCCAGTGCCACTAGACATCGCTGCGCAGAGGGCTGGCTCGGCAGGAGCGCTGAGCACCCATGGCCTGCGATCCTGCCGCGAGACCTCATCGCTGCTGCAGGCCCGCCCTGCTCTCGGTCTTTTCCAGCCTGGCTGCAATGGCCAAGCCTGATGCAATTAATCAGGGGCTGGAAGCTTAATTACATCCAAGTGGCCGGGCAGAAGGCAGCCTGCTCTGGATCCCTGTCAATAAATCAAACTGGGAGCAGGCGACGAGAAAACAGACGGAGCAACGTGCCAAATAATGCAAGCCTGAGGCAGCGCCGCTGGGGACGGTTCCCCGCTGTGGTCACGGGAAGGCCCATGTCAGGCAATGGATCTACCCTGAAGGCAAGGTGGCACCATTAGACAAGGGGTTTTGGACCCCAAAACAGCAAGGGACGGGGAGCGAGAGCCCAGGACTAAGCACAGTCAGATGCTACTCCCCATTCAGATGCAGGCTGCCTGCCTGCCCCTCCCAGCTGCAAGGTGGAGACAACTGCACTTTTCTGCCTCCCAGGGGTTGCAGAATCGATGCAAAAGATTGGGGGTGCTTGGATGCTGCATCTGTGAGGCCTGCATAAGTATGAGAGAGAGAGGCTGGAAGTATTTGCAGACCAGTCACCCAAGGGCCAAGAGGTTATCGTAGTTGACCTTCCTTCCTCATGACAGGGTATTTAGCAGAACCCAGATCCGCTGGAATTGGACCAGCCGCACCATAAATGCTCCTGATATGGTCTCACACTTACAACCTCCGGGCTGTCAACCGTGGATCTTAGCACCTGCACCACCCCAGTCTCCAGAGCTCAGTGGTGATGGACCAGAACAGCTTTGCAGCTTTTACCTGGTGCACACGTGCTCAGGGCAGGGGCCACAAATGGCCTGGGGGACCTTGAGCAAGCCTCTTGTCCGTCAGTGCCTCCATGCTCCATCTGTACAGAGCCAGGAATGATACTCCCCTTCTCTCACCCCGTCCCAGCTAGGTACATCTTAAGTTCTCCGAGGCAGGGATGGTCTCTTATGACCCATATTTACAGCACCTAACCTGCAACGCAGATCGTAGCACAGGTACTGATGATGTCCCCCTCCCCGAGACGGGCACCGGCTTAGAGCAGAGCTGCTGCTGGTGACGTGCAAGCCGAGCCAGCACCGCTGTTCTGCCAGACCTCACGCTCTGTCTAAATTAACCAATGCCTTTCCCAAAGCCAGGAAAACTTCAGGTCTTACTGCAGGTCCCGAGCAAGGGATCAAGTTAATTCTTTTATCTGAGTCATGCCACCTGTTCCCAGGAGCCAGCAGAAAACGACTCCGATTGCATGGCTTTCTCCCCCGGCATGACACACTCAGTAGTTCCCATGTAATCAGCACCATTAAAGGGCTTAATGCATGCCCACGGCTAATCAAGCCCTAGCACTGGAGTGCGACAGAGCAGGGAGAAGCCAGCAGACTGCTGCTCTAACGTGGCTCTGCTGTGGTTGCGTCTCCCCAGGTCTTCCAGCGACGCGAGGATGGCTCTGTGAACTTCTTCCGCGGATGGGATGCGTACCGGGATGGATTCGGGAAGCTGACAGGAGAGCACTGGCTAGGTATGGGCCTAGCCGTAAGCCCAGGAACCAGCGAGGCACGAGAGGGTCATGGTTTCAGCTGCCCAACAGCAGAGAGGGTTGGGTTAGGAAGGTCCCGCGTGCTGGCTGATCAGCGCGTCCCCGAGCAGGGCTGCCAGCTCCCAAGCAGAGGAGCCCAGGGCCAGGTGCACTGGCACCAGGGAGCAGGCATGGCTGATCCCACTGTGAACCTGCCTGCTCCCAGGGCTCGTGCATGTCTAAGGCTCATCGTGGAGGCTGTGAGTAGGAACTGCTGCCCCAGGGGAGAGAAATGCCCAGGCTGCTTAGAAGGAAACGGGTCATGCAGTGCCCCATGGCTGAGGCCAGTGCACCAGGGGAGCAGCAGAATCACATCTCCTGCTCTGTACCCTGGGCCACGGGGGTTGGTTCCTGGGGGAAGTTGTGTGGGCGCTGGCACCTTTGAGTCCCAGGGAAAAAATGGGGGAGGGAAGGAGGGCGAAACAGAGACTCACCCCCACCCCTCTGCCCCTCAATGTGCTACTCACTTCCACCAACAGCTCTCGAGACATATAATTAAAGGCCCTCTTAATTAGGAGGCAATCAAACAGGCTAGAGAGCCCTGTGCCGGCATGGGGCTGGAGAAGAGGGGCCTGTCCCCACGCCGGGATTGCGATGCAGCGAGAGTCCTGCCCTTCAGGGTCCGCCCGGGGCACCGGCAGGCGCTGCTTTAGCAGAGGTTGAACTGAAGCATACCAGGAGTTTTGCTGCAGGCACCTGGGAGGTGGGGCAGCCTGCTGGGGCAGGGGGCCAAGGCACCCAGAGCTGGGAGGGAAGCGTGCATGCGTGTACATGCATTTTAGGGCATCAGTTCCTTCCGCAGAGCCAGACCTCATGACGTGCACAACTGGCTTGATTAGGGCACATTAGGAATGAGCCACTGGCCTCCAGGGCTTCCCCACATCCCCCAGGGACAGAGCGATGCTGCATTTGCTTTCCCTGCTCCTTCCCACCTGCTCAAGGGTGAAGCCCGACATCTGGCTGCCCCAGGGCGAGCGGGACCTGCTCCCAGAAACGGCTCTGCCCTCGGCCTCAGCCAGGGTGGCCATCTCTCTACCTCTGGCTTTGCCCCGCAGGGCTAAAGAGGCTCCACGTCCTGACGGTGCAGGCCAACTACGAGCTGCGCATTGACCTGGAGGACTTTGACAACGGCACAGCCTACGCACACTATGGCGCCTTCGGCGTGGGCCTCTTCTCCGTGGACCCTGAGGAGGACGGGTACCCCATCACCGTCTCCGACTACTCTGGGACAGCAGGTCAGGCTGCCAGGCAGGTCCCCTGGAAAGGGCACAAGAAGCTGGCACAAGCCGTGTCGGTCAGAGCCAGCCCCGTGGCCGACGGTGCTCGAGCACCGGCTTTGTCCCGGGATGTTTGTGCACCCATGCACCCAGGTGCAGAGCAAGGCGAGTCGAGCTCCTCCCTACCAGAGCTCCTAGCGCTAGGATGGCAGGAGCCGGGCTGAGATCAGGAGTGAGGGGCATCAGCAGGGCTGGAGGGAGCCCTAGTCCTGGGAGACCGGGGTGGGGCACCCAGGTCGGGCTGCAGAGCCAGGGGAGGTTGCAAAGCACCCGGGCCCCCCGCACACCCACCAGCCCAGCTGCCTAGTGCTGCTCACCCCATTTTCAAGCCCCCGGGCACTGCCGAGTGCCCCTCACTGCTCCACTGACACAGGCCCTGGCTTCAGCACTGCACTGGCCGTGGGGTGTGCCCACGTCCCTGGCCAGAGAAGGGCATGGGGTGAGGCTGCCCCAGGGCATCCCAGGGGGCAGACCCAGCCTGCAGCACAGTGGCCATTCGCGGGCACTTCCCTGAAAGGTGCCACCATCTCTGCCCCGCAGGAGACTCCTTCCTGAAGCACAACGGGATGAGGTTCACCACCAAAGACCTGGACAACGACCACTCGGAGAACAACTGCGCGGCTTTCTACCACGGCGCTTGGTGGTACCGCAACTGCCACACCTCCAACCTCAACGGGCAGTACCTCAAGGGGCACCACAGCTCCTACGCAGATGGCATCGAGTGGTCCTCTTGGACGGGCTGGCAGTACTCCCTCAAGTTCACCGAGATGAAGATCCGCCCTGCCAGAGATGAGAATTAGCCCGATGGCAGACCCCCGACGGCGAGACCCCACGCCTGCCCCCGCCCCTGTGCCCCCCA